CCCCAAAAACCCAGCCCCACCCCCAAAAACCCAGCCCCGAAAATCCCCTTCCCTCCCCAGGTTCACATTAAAAATCAAACCTGGGAAAATAAGGGTTAAACTCCTCCTTTTAACCCCAAAACCCTCCCATTCCCAAATCCACAGCTCTCCCCACCCGAATTCCCACTCCTCACCCCCAAAATCCTCTCCCCCCACCCCAAAACCTTTCCAGGCTGATGTTAAAGATGAACAAAAGTGGCCAAACCCCAGTTTTCACCCCCAAAATCCCCCCACCCCAATTTCTCACTGAATCTCCCCAGCTCTCCACTCAGGGGGAGGGTGGGAATGCCCAACTCCCCCATTTTCACCCCAAAAACCCTTTTTTCACCCCAAAATCCTCTTTTTCACCCCCAATTCCTCTTTTTTGCCCCCAAACCCCTCTTTTTTTACCCCCAAAACCCCATTTTTTCATCCCAAAAACCCCTTTTTTCTCCCCAAACCCCCCTTTTTCATCCCAAAATCCCCTTTTTCACCCCAAAACCCCTTTTTTCACCCTAAAACGCCTTTTTATCACCCCAAACCCCCCTTTTTCACCCCAAAATCCCCTTTTTCACCCCAAAACCCATTTTTTTCACCCTAAAACGCTTTTATCACCCCAAACCCCCCTTTTTTCACCCCAAAAACCCCATTTTTTCATCCCAAAAACCCCTTTAATCACCCCAAACCTCCCTTTTCTCACCCTAAACCCCCCTTTATTCTCCCCAAAACCCCCTCTAATCACCTCAAAAACCCCTTTAATCACCCCAACCCCCTTTTCACCCTAGTTTAGGGTCTTTGTGGGGTGCTGAGGGGATGGGGGGAGGAAAAAAGGGGGGTCAGGGGGGCTGGAGGTCATTTGGGGGGCAAATCTATAGGGAAAGGGGGTTGGGGTCACAGAGGGGTCGCAGCTCCCCACTCCTGGCTGGTTTTGGGGGGTCAGGGGTGGGTGTGAGGATTTTGGGGGTTCCAAGAGGGGTTTTTGGGGGGTCACTCACTGTTCCCACACCTGACCAGGTGCTGGTTAAGGGGCAGGAGTTTCAGGGGTGGGTGTGTGAATTCTGGGGGTTCCCAGAAGTGTTTTTGGGGGGGGTCACTCACTGTTCCCACACCTGACCAGGTGCTGGTTTTGGGGCAGGAGTTTCAGGGGTGGGTGTGCAGGTTCTGGGGGTTCCCAGAGAGGTTTTTTGGGGGGATCACTCCCTGGGGAGGGGGCTATTTCTACACCTGACCAGGGGCTGAACAAGGGGCTGTTTTTAGGAGGGGTTCAGGGGTGGGTGTGAGGGTTCTGGGGGTTCCCAGAGAGGTTTTGGGGGTGGGGGTGTCAATCACTGGAAAGGGTCTGTTCCCACACCTGACCAGGGGCTGGACAAGGTGCTGATTCTGGGACAGGAATTTCAAGGGTAGGTATGTCGATTCTGGGGGCTCACAGAGGTGTTTTTGGGGGGTCACCTGCTGTTCCCACACCTGACCAGGTGCTGGTTTTGGGACAGGAATTTCAGGGGTGGGTGTGTGGACTCTGGGGGCTCCCAGAGGGGTTTTGGGGGGTCACTCACCGGGGGGGGCTGTCCCCCAGCCTGGCTGGCAGCACGGTGGCTGCTGGACAAGGGGCTGTTGTTGTGGGCGGCGTTGGAGCTCACGGACACCGGGGCCTCGCCCAGCTCAGCCATCAGGGACAGGTACTCCTTGTCCATCCGTGCCTTGTCCTGTGCAGACTGTGGGTCCCCAGGCCTGGCAACCCAAGTGGGATGGTGAGTCTGGGGGGGCTGCACCCCCAAATCCCCCCCACCCCAACTCTGGTGCATGGCCTAGGAAAAGCTCTGAGGGTTTTCAAAGAGGCTTCAGAAGATTTCAGGGTATTTGGTGGGGTTTTGGCGAGATCTCAAGGAGATTGGCAGGATCCCAAGGGGGTTTTGAGGACTTTGTGGAATCCCAAGGAAGTTTAGAGAGGATTTTGAGGGATCTGGGGAGGGTTTGGGGCTGATTTAGGGAATCTCAAAGTTTGGGAATAGTTGAGGTCTCAGGAATTTAAGGAGCATTTGTAGAGAGCTCAGCAAGAACCTCAAGCAGAGAATCTCAAGAGCTCTGTGATGACCTCAGGAGGATCTGGTGGGTTTTCTGAGGAGTGTTTAGGGAATCCCACAAGGATCTGGGGGTTTATTTTGGGGGGGTCACCTGGCAAACTTGCAGTCGGAGGCGATGTGCCCGGCCCCGCCGCACTTGGTGCACACCGTGGTGTTGGTGATGCTGCGAGTCTCGGTGCTCTGCCACGGCCTCAGGATGCTGGGGAGGGGACAAGGATCACTCAGGGATTCTGGGGGGTTATTTTTACATTAATTAGGGGGGGTGGGACCCCTCTGACCGGTTGTCATCCTCCCGCAGGGTCCCGTTGAGCCGCGCCAGCTCCCGCAGCTGCATCTTGCGCAGATCGTTCTGGTCCTCGGGGGTCTCGATGCCCTGCTTCAGGATGTTCCTGATCTGGGGGGCACAGCGGGTGTCAGACAGGGGGGCTGCGCCTCCAGCACCCCCCTAAACCCCCTGGGGACACCCCCAAACCTGCTCCACGGCTTTCTTGACGTTCTCCATGGTGTTGGCAGTGACCAGGGCGTGCAGGGGCTCGTCCTCGCCCGGCAGCATCTGCCCGTCCTTGCGGCCCACCTTGCCCTCCTTCACTGAGCCCTTGCCCCTGATCATGATCTTGGCATTGCACTCCTTCTCGATGTTCTTCAGAGTGTTCCCCCTGGGAATGGGCCACCAGGACAGGCAGGTCACACTCAGAGCTCTCACAGAGCCCACCTGTCCTCCCTCACCTTTGCCCTGGGTTGTGTTCCCTCTCCATGTTTTGCTTGGGAATTCTGGGGGGTCCCACCCCCAGACTGGACCCCACATCAGGGGGAGTGGGGACCTGGTTCATCAGGAGCTCAGGCTCATTACAGACACAGGTGTGTCATTAAACAGCCCTGTGTTAATTAGGAAGGAATGTGGGGACACCCACACTGGGACCCTGCAGGTGCTGGGATGGGGACCCAGCAGCACCTCGGTGTTTCCAGGAACTCCCCACATTCCTGGGGTGAAGCTGAGGGGATCCCCCCTAGCCCCAGAGCCCTCTCACCCCCCCAGGATCTCGGGGTGCCCACCTGGGCCCGATGAGGAGCCCCACGAAGTTGATCTCGGGGTACTCGTCCTGCGGGATCATCACCTTGTCGCTCACCCGCGTCGCCGGCGGCCTGGGGAAGGACAAAAACGGGGGCTCAAACCCTTGGGAGAACCCCAAACTGGGCAGAACCAGCCCCAAATCGGGGTCAGGGGAGGGGTCTCTCCTCACTTGTAATCAGCAGGGGGCTTGAAGTCGGGGTTCAGGGCCACCATCTCGGTGATGAGGTTGTGCCTCTCCTCCTCCAGCTTCTTGCGCGTGCGGAACTCCCGCGTGTTCAGGCGCTTCCCCTCGCTGTTGTAGATGGGCTCCGGGGAGGGGGACCTGCTCCGGGGGGCGGGGGGGTCACTGGCAGGCCCCCAGACCCCTCAGGGGGGGCTGTGCCCCCAGAACCCCCTCCCCAATCCTCCCAGCCCCCGGGTGTGGGGGGTCTTCCCTCCCCTCGCTGTTGGCGATGGGGAGGGGGATGCGGAGGGGTGGGGAGGGGTCAGGACCCCCCCTCCCCAAACCACCACAACCCTCCCCCCGTCGCCACCCTGTGCCACTGCCCCCACCCACCCCCAGGAGGGGATAATTGGGGGGGGGAGCGTTAATTAGCGCCCAATTAAGGCCAGCAGAGCAGAGCCCTCCCCCTCCCCAAACCGCTCTTTGCCCGTTTCTCTGCGGTTTGGCCTCGGCTGGGTCAGGGTTTGGCCCCTTTGTGCCCGGTTTTGTTGTTTCTCCCTGGCTTTGCCCCGTTCCTGCTCCTTTTCTCCCAGGTTGTGCCCCAGTTCTCCCCCGTTTTTTTGCCCAATTTCCCCGTTTCTAGGAGGAAAAAGTCCCTGTCTGGGGGGGCCGCGCGGCTTTGGCAGCCCCGGAGGGAAGAGTCAAGGTCGCTTGAGCTGAGCCGTGGCGGGGTGAGAAAATCAGATTATGATTAAAAATCAGAATTATCAGCGAGGAAGGAAAAAAAAATAAAAAAGAGTCAGAATCGCTCGGGTTTGGTTAAATCGGCCCTTGGCTCCCCTCCCCCCCCAAAATAGCGAATTTTGGCAGCGGCTGCAAGAAGGGAAGAGATTAAGGCGGATCCTCCAAAAACAGCCGGCGCGGGCGACAGTCGAACCTGCCCCCGGTTTGGGGGGAAAAAGCGACTTTTCGGGGTTGGCAGCAGCCGGGTCCTCGGTGGAACTGCGACGTCACTGTCCCCGCTCGTGATTAATCGTTAATTCATTAATTAATTCCCCCCCCAACCAGCGCTAACGACGCCGCAGCGGGGGAGCGGCCTCGGCCCGGGGCGCTGCAGGAGCAAGGCTGGGTTAGCGCGGGGGGCCTGCGCCCCCCCAAACCTGGGAGACCCCCAAAACCTGGGGCTGTGTGTGGTGGTGGGGGGGGCGGTGTGACCCCCAAAACCTGGGGGGCCGGGGGGTGTCCCCCTCCCCTCCCCCCCCGGTGCTGGGACTCGGGAGGGCCCCCCCGGCCACCGCGGGGTGAGGGACCCCCAAAATGAGGGATCCCTGAGGACACAGGGACCCCCCCGGGGCTGGGGACCCCTGGACGGTGAGGGACTCCCACAGAGCTGGGGACCCCCCCAGAGCAGGGGGTCCCTGAGGGGGGAGGGACCCCGTCCTGCCCTGCCACAGAAAAATGGGGCCAAAACAGGAGGAAAAGGTGAAGAGAGGGAGTGGAGGGGGGAATTTGGCCCTTTGGAGGGACAACGGCAGCTCTGCCCCCCCTGCAGAGACAAACTGGGGTGAAAAGGGGGGGAAAGCAGAGCAAAAAGGGGGTGCAGTGGGGCTGGGGCCTCGTTAAGCCCCCAGAGCTCATTAAGCCACCACCACAGGTCGTTAATCCTCACCTAACGAGGCCCAGGCTGGGCTCAGCACCCCCAAACTCAGGAGCAACACCCCAAATTTGGGGGGGGGTGTGTGGTTCCAGAGCAGCACCCCCAAACTGAGGGGGAACACCCCAAAACTGGGGGGGGGGAACCCTGGATCAGCAGGGGAGGGGCATCCAGAGCAGCACCCCCAAATCCAGGGGGGGGGGAACTGGAGAAGGGGAGGGGTCCCGACCTGTCCTGGATTGGGGGGCGCTCCCAGGGGTCTCCCGTGCGCTGCTTGCGGCTCAGGTCTTCGATCTGCAGTTGCACTGGAAGGAACCCGGTCCCGGAGAGGTGAGAGAGACACAGTTACAAAACACCCACATTTTACACCCAAAAAATTAAAATAAAAATAAATAAATAAATCAAGCATTCCTCCCACAAAATCATCCTGCCACAGCCCGGCTTGGCCGGGTTAAAAGTCCTTTTTTTGTCCTTTTTTTTTGTTTTTTTTACCTACACCGGCTCCATGGCACCAAAACCAGGCATTACTGCCCTAAAACCAAATGGTTACGGTGAGAAAAAGCAGGTGTTGTTACCTAAAATTGACATTATTAGCAGAAAAATACACCTTCTTAGCGATAACAGCAGGTTATTACCCCAAAAAACCACATTGTTACCCCAAAAAACGTGTTATTACCAAAAAAAGCAGGTTATCACGAAAGAAAAATAATCACATTGTTATCAAAAAAATCACAGGATTACCCAAAAAAAGCACATTATTACCAAACCTCCTGCATTCTTATGGAAAATCTAGAGATTGTTATTGTAAAACCAGACATTATTACCTAAAATAGAAGATTATCAGTCAAAAAAAAGACATTATTTCCTAAAATATCACATTGTTACCTAAAATGTGAGATTATTACTACAGAAGGTGAACGTTATTACCTAAAACAACCACAATTTTAGCTAAAACAATCACAATTTTACCTAAAACGAGAGATTATGCCTAAAAAAATACACATTGCCTAAAATAGCCACATTATTACCCAAAACACAAGACTACTACTAAAAAAAGCAACTGTTATTACCTAGAACAGGAGATGTAATTAAACACAGTCATTATTAGCTAAAACACCTGATTACCACTAAAAATAAAGGTTATCAGAGGAACATTGTAACCTTAAAACACACAATAACAGCTAAAAATACATTTTTATCAAAAAATGAGCGTGGTTAACCAAGAGACTGTTGTGTTATTATGATACATTTTCACCTAAACCTGCAGGTTATCACCCAAAATTGCAAGTTTTGGTTAATTAACTTCCCTAAATCCCAGGGGGTTCTGACCCCACATCCTGCTGGGATTCTGACCCCAAACGCTGGGGAGGTTCTGACCCCAAATTCCCCAGATTTAATCCAAAATTTGGGGCTGTTGCTGATGTGAGCACAGGGAATTTAATCCCAAATCCTGGAGGTTTAGCCCCAGAATCTCAGGGGGGTTCTAACCCAAATTCCAGGGGGATTTTAACCCAAAACCTGTAGGTTCTGACCCTAAAATCCCGTTTTTCCCCTCAAAACTTTATTGATGTGAGCGTGTTCCTGCTCACACCTCAGCCTTGGGTGGTGGGCAAAGAAATCTGAGCCCAAACCCAGAGTTCTGACCCTAAACTCCAAATTCTGACCCTAAACCCCGAGTTCTGACCCTAAACCCTGAGCTCTGAGCCCAAACCCTGACTGTAAACCCAAAGCTCTGACCCTAAACTCGAGTTCTGAACCTAAACCCAAAGTTCTGACCCTAAATCCAAAGCTCTGACCCTAAACCCTGAGCTCTGACCCTAAACCCCGAGTTCTGACCCCACACCCTGAGCTCTGACCCTAAACCCAAAGCCCTGACCCTAAACCCTGAGCTCTGAGCCCAAACCCAGAGCTCTGAGCCTACACCCCAAATTCTGATCCTAAACCCCAAGCTCTGACCCTAAACCCCAAGCTCTGACTCCACACCTTGAGCTCTGACCCTAAACCCAAAGCCCTGACCCTAAACCCTGAGCTCTAAGCCCAAACCCTGACCCTAAACCCAAAGCTCTGACCCTAACTCGAGTTCTGACCCTAAACCCCGAGCTCTGACCCTGCACCCAAAGCCCTGACCCTAAACTCGAGTTCTGACCCTAAACCCCGAGCTGTGACTCTAAACCCAAAACCCTGACTCTAAACCCCGAGCTCTAAGCCCAAACCCTGACCCTAAACTCTAGTTCTGACCCTGCACGCAAAGCCCTGACCCCAAACCCTGAGCTCTGACCCTAAACTCGAGCTCTGACCCTAAAACCAAACTGCACCCAAAGCCCTGACCCTAAACTCGAGTTCTGACCCTAAACCCCGAGCTGTGACTCTAAACCCAAAACCCTGACTCTAAACCCCGAGCTCTAAGCCCAAACCCTGACTGTAAACCCAAAGCCCTGACCCTAAACCCCGAGCTCTAAGCCCAAACCCTGACCCTAAACTCTAGTTCTGACCCTGCACGCAAAGCCCTGACCCCAAACCCCGAGCTCTGACCCTGCACCCTCAGCCCTGACCCTGCACCCAAAGCCCTGACCCCAAACCCCGAGCTCTGACCCTAAACTCGAGCTCTGACCCTAAAACCAAAGCTCTAGCCTCAAACGCAAAGCCCTGACCCCAAACCCCAAGCTCTGACCCTGCACGCAAAGCCCTGACCCCAAACCCCGAGCTCTGACCCTAAACTCGAGCTCTGACCCTAAAACCAAAGCTCTAGCCTCAAACCCTCAGCCCTGACCCCACTGACCCTAACTCGAGTTCTGACCCTAAACCCCGAGCTCTGACCCTGCACCCAAAGCCCTGACCCTAAACTCGAGTTCTGACCCTAAACCCCGAGCTGTGACTCTAAACCCAAAACCCTGACTCTAAACCCCGAGCTCTAAGCCCAAACCCTGACCCTAAACCCAAAGCTCTGACCCTAACTCGAGTTCTGACCCTAAACCCCGAGCTCTGACCCTGCACCCAAAGCCCTGACCCTAAACTCGAGTTCTGACCCTAAACCCCGAGCTGTGACTCTAAACCCAAAACCCTGACTCTAAACCCCGAGCTCTAAGCCCAAACCCTGACCCTAAACCCAAAGCTCTGACCCTAACTCGAGTTCTGACCCTAAACCCCGAGCTCTGACCCTGCACCCAAAGCCCTGACCCTAAACTCGAGTTCTGACCCTAAACCCCGAGCTGTGACTCTAAACCCAAAACCCTGACTCTAAACCCCGAGCTCTAAGCCCAAACCCTGACCCTAAACCCAAAGCTCTGACCCTAACTCGAGTTCTGACCCTAAACCCCGAGCTCTGACCCTGCACCCAAAGCCCTGACCCTAAACTCGAGTTCTGACCCTAAACCCCGAGCTGTGACTCTAAACCCAAAACCCTGACTCTAAACCCCGAGCTCTAAGCCCAAACCCTGACCCTAAACCCAAAGCTCTGACCCTAACTCGAGTTCTGACCCTAAACCCCGAGCTCTGACCCTGCACCCAAAGCCCTGACCCTAAACTCGAGTTCTGACCCTAAACCCCGAGCTGTGACTCTAAACCCAAAACCCTGACTCTAAACCCCGAGCTCTAAGCCCAAACCCTGACCCTAAACCCAAAGCTCTGACCCTAACTCGAGTTCTGACCCTAAACCCCGAGCTCTGACCCTGCACCCAAAGCCCTGACCCTAAACTCGAGTTCTGACCCTAAACCCCGAGCTGTGACTCTAAACCCAAAACCCTGACTCTAAACCCCGAGCTCTAAGCCCAAACCCTGACCCTAAACTCTAGCTCTGACCCTGCACGCAAAGCCCTGACCCCAAACCCCGAGCTCTGACCCTGCACGCAAAGCCCTGACCCCAAACCCCGAGCTCTGACCCTGCACGCAAAGCCCTGACCCCAAACCCTGAGCTCTGACCCTAAACTCGAGCTCTGACCCTAAAACCAAAGCTCTAGCCTCAAACCCTCAGCCCTGACCCCAAACCCCGAGCTCTGACCCTGCACGCAAAGCCCTGACCCCAAACCCTGAGCTCTGACCCTAAACTCGAGCTCTGACCCTAAAACCAAAGCTCTAGCCTCAAACCCTCAGCCCTGACCCCAAACCCCTAGTTCTGACCCTGCACGCAAAGCCCTGACCCCAAACCCTGAGCTCTGACCCTAAACTCGAGCTCTGACCCTAAAACCAAAGCTCTAGCCTCAAACCCTCAGCCCTGACCCCAAACCCCGAGCTCTGAACCCAAACCCCGAGCTCTGACCCTGCACGCAAAGCCCTCACCCCAAACCCTGAGCTGTGACCCCAAACCCTCAGCCCTGACCCCGCACCCCGAGCTCTGACCCCAAAGCCCTGACCCCCTCCCCGCTCCGTTACCGATGTAGGCGCGCTCCTGCTCGCGGGTGAGCCCGGGCGGGATCACCGTGGGCATCCCCGGGATCACCGTCTTCTGCTCCAGCGAGTCCTGGTTCCAGCGGCTGCGCTTCCGCTTCCGCGGGAAGTCTGGGGGGAAACGCCGCGGTTCGGGCAACGCCGGCAGCGCCGGCAGCGCCGAGGGGCACGGCCCGTGGGGCTGGGGGGGTTTGGGGGCGCCGGCGGCTGCGGCTGCGGAGGTGGCGGAGGCGGCGGAGGAGGAGGCGGAGGAGGCGGCAGAGCCGCGAAAGGGAAAGCGGCGGCGGCCATGGGGGCGCGGGGGGCGGCGGGGCCGGGAGCGGGACCGGGCTGGGCCGCGCTCGCCCCGGTCGCCATAGAACGGCCCCCGCGCGGCCTTCGCGAACCTTCCACGCCGCCGCGCCGCGCGCGCCGCGCTGATTGGCCGCGCCGCGCGTCGATCAACGGGACAGCACGCCGCGATTGGTTGAAGGAGCTGTCTGTCAGGGCGGCGGCCGCGGGGATTGGCCAGCAGGCGGACGGGGGGGCGGAGGTGGACGCTGAGGCGATGGCGGCGGGGATTGGTCAGTGGGGCTGTCACTCAGGCGGAGAGCGGGGGAGGGGGAGCCAGAACGGCGAGCAGCGATTGGGTAGCGCGGCGGAGGGCGGGACCCACCGCGGAGGCTCCGCCATCATTGGCTGCGCTACGCTCCGCCCCGCGCCCCCAGACGGGGACTGCGGGAGACCCCGTGCCGGACATGAGTGACGTTCGCAGCAGACTTTGACCGGGCGCAGCTGATTGGCTGCCTCCCCTGTCACTCATGGAAAACGCGCGCTGATTGGTGGAAACGGGGGTGGGAGGGCGGGTGGGAGAGCGGCCCGCCAAAACCTCTCGCGAAGCATGGCGGGAGCTCGCCCGCGCGCGGAGGATCATGGGAGCCGCCCCCTCATGAGGGCCCGCGCCCCCCAAAAACGCAGGAGGAGGCGCTCGGTGAAAACAGCGGCACTTTTATTTTATTCTCGGTTATCCCACGGCCTCCCCCTCACCCCCGAGCTCTTGGAATCCCCCTGCAGTTCCCCCAAATCCGGGACCCCCCAAAGGCCTCGTGTTGTGCGCCCCAAAACTGAGCAGTGCCCCCCCCAAAATGCTCTGCCTGAAACCCCTTCAACAGCCCATTTAGCCACCACAACGGCTGCTGCCAAGTGTCTTAAGCAGGAAAGGGGCAGAGGGGCCAGCCTCTTCTGCTCTCTGCCATCCATAGGATGGATGGAGGGCACCTTGGGCAGGAATTGCACATGGCTGCTGCGCACCTGGTGCTGATAGCACAGCTGACAAGATGAAGCAACACTGAACCAGGGCTGCAGCATCTTCCTCTTTCCATGGCAGCTTTGCCTTGACCAGCACACATATCTGTAGTGGTGGGGGCACAGCAGCACAGGCTGCAGTGGGACCCCAGGCTGCAGAGAAGTTGCACTTGTATTGTTGCAGAGAAGACTGTCATCACATAGTAACTGCTGTGCATGTGCCAGCAAGAGCAGAGTGAGCATGAGTAAGCTTATTATGCGATAATCACACCTTCATCTTTCTGGATAGATAAACTGCTGAGGTATCCAAGTCTGGCAGTGAGGCACAATCACTGTCTGAGGATGAGCAAAAAGCAACTGGGACCTTTCCCCATTGGAAACATGCCTGATTTGTTGCTATTATCTATTTATGTTTTTAACCAGAACATCGTTATTGAACCCCCGGTTGC